CTCTCTCTCTCTCTCTCTCTCTCTCTCTCTCTTTCGGGAATAACACCCCCCCCGTCGATTCTGTGGAGATAGGCTGCAGCTGGTCGGAGCAGACTGCTGAGCTAAGGTGCGCGCGCCTCCGCTCGCGAGGGAAACGGCAAGCTTGCACATGGGACGCGACCGTTTCCCCGAGCTCTGTGGCCTGGCCGGCGTTTTTGCCGCCAAATTCGCGTTCCTGGCTTAGAGAGACTTACTGACTTACTCTAGCCTGGCTTCGGCCGCGCGATCTACAGCGCGCGCAATGTGTAACGATTGGCGCAAACGACTAATTGTCATTCTTAGATCAGTGTTCTATTGTTGTCTTGTCAACAGTCATACCAGGTGTGTGCGAGTTTTAGCTGTGCAATTATTACGTAATTGGCGATTTACTCTCTCTAATCCTATTGTTTCTAACTATTCATTTCTGTGAGTAGTTCCGTGGAGCACATGCAGAAAACGGTAAGAAACTTAATACAAAAATCGGTATTTTTATCAAGAGTGTGGATTGTGACACTTAAATAGCGTAACGACAATGGGGTGCCCGCGCATGTACTGTAATACTCAATACATGAATCAAAGTCGCCGGTGCCACAATTTAGATGATAAGCTGTCAGACGGTCGGCGAGAGCTTTGTGAGCATTCATTTTGAAGTGCCGTTCGAAGGCTCTCGCTTAACCCGTCTGATTTAGTCAACATACGCCCGCACATTGCTTGCTCTCTCTTTCTCTGAGAAGTCTCTCCCACGAGCACATCACGCATTATCGTGTCGTAGAGCGCACCTCTGTTTTTTTTAAATAATTTCAATTTGATAAAATGTGCACAGTTACAACTAGGGTAGTATGCACTCTATGATTTGTTTTATCCTTCGATAAAAAATATTTTGTAGCCTTAATCCGGCACAGAATTAAATACAAATAACATCAGTCCACACCGCTTCTCAAAAGTACTGATGGGTTGTGGAGCAAGTTGTTGGGGAGCCCCGAGAAGCATTGACGGTCGCCTCTTTCGCCTGGCAGGTCCACTCGTTCTACCCGGGCCAGCCGCTGCCCAGCAGACTGCAGCAAGGCCTCCAGCAAGGAAGACAGACGCCACAGTATTACTCCAGAGGGAAGAACATGCCGCGGTCCGGCAGCGACCAGCACTTGCCCCGGGTCGAATACCAACACCGTGAGTACACAGGCACGGGTGGAAACTTGACTTGACTAAACCGACGAGACCTCCGTTGGCCCAAGGAGGAATTGGTAACCAGGCACTCACTTTTAGAGGGTACAGTTTGCCTCTTCAAGAGTAAAGTTACAGTTTACCTGTTAAAGCATTTTTCTTCAAATTTATTTTTTCGCTCTATCCCCGTTTTGGGCCCGTTACTCTAGGCCTCATTCTAAAAGTAGGAGGTCGAACTATGTGTTCGGGTAACTGCCACCCACAGTGCCACTGCCAGCCGCGCGTTGACGGCGGGGACACTGAGAACTACTGACGCGGCGGCGCCACTTCAAGTGGCACAACGCGCAAATATTATCGCTGCAGCCGCGCTGAGCGCAGCACATATCAGACCGCAGGCATGTCGCCGCACTGTCTGCAGTTTTGTGACTGCGCCATCGCAACGCTTACACGGACTTTGGCTTTGGCGTGCCACTCTCTTAAAACCGATCGTGTTCACCGAGAGTTGTGCGCTCTGTTGTCAGTAATGGTGTAATGTAGGGGAGACCTTATCATACTGCTTTTATCTCAGAGGGCAAAGTCTAACCTAATCAGTTGACTTTATTTACTTTAGCTAATCTCGGATCTGACAAATTATTTGGTTACCACAGGGAACTGATTAGAGCCCTGCAAAGAGCGACCTACGCGACCTACGCGAGATACGCGAGCTAAATGCGTACCCCGACCCACACTCGCCTGTCGAAGAGGGGGCGAGAGGGGGTCTAGCTCGCGTAGCTTGCTCGACGCTCTAAGACTGATTAATTGCCCGAAATTACTAAAATTTGGTTCTGACGATCAATTATTTTTCAATCCGTGTAGTACTGCAACATCATGTCTCACATTTGGTCTCGCAAGACCACGGCATCATTTTGGATTTAAGTTGGAAATATAAAACAATTAATGCTGTCCTACATTTGGTAACGCACTGTCTCACTTTCCAAAGAGTGAGACTTGCCTCGCACCTCTGTCTTAAAGCCAATAGACTTGTAATCCGAAGTGTACTTTTGCCCCAAAATATTCGCAGTCATGAAAATCGACTCGACTTCCTCAATCAGAATTTTTAGTATAGAATTTAACCAAGCATTTGTCGATGGAAACAGTAGAGACACGCTGGAAGTACAAGTGTGAGAAATTTACTCACCTGCAGGTGGGTGAAAATATTCACACACCTGTAGGTGTGCTACAAAATGTTCACACACTTGTATGTGACCGAATGGAGATTTGCTGACTTAGCAAAGGTAGCGTTTTCTCTGTCCATTTTCTATTAAACAAAATATCCTCTGAACGTGAAGCGTCGCTCCGTCGCTGCATTGTTTGAATGAAATGCGGTCAACATTTTTTGTCTTGTGTTACTCTAGCACCCCAGCGCACGGCGCACACCATGCTCCGGCCGGGGACGCTGTCGCACTATGGCCGATACAGCTCGGCCGCCGGCCAGCACGCCAACCAGCACGCCGGCCAGCACGGCTACCGCCGCGGCAGGCCTTCCCTGGACTACGCGTCCGACACCGAGGCCACGTGCTCGCCGTCCACGAGGTCGTCGTCGTCCTACTACTACTACCGGGACCGGTCCGGCGCGCAGGGTGAGTCCCGCCGCCAGCGATATCAGGCCCGAAGGGAAGGAACTTCAGTGACTAAAAACTAAAAGTGACTACACGCTCAAAAACAAATCAGTTTAAAAAATCAAGGTTAAAGGCAATTAAAAATTCCCAAAAAATAAATTACAAAGAAATCCGAAGAAATCTGATATTTTTAGAGGAAATAAAAAGAAAACAGAAAAATTATTGTACGCTTGAAGTGAAGTAGCCCTCAGCCGGGCCGGCCTCCTCACTGGTGCCCCTGTAAACAGGCTCATCTGCCGCGTCAGCCGCGCTGTCACGCCTGGGCTCCGCCACGCTCTCGCGGGGCGGCTCGCTGCGCTCCAACTCTCTGCCGCGAGACCACCGCGGCCCCGGGCCCATCTCCATGGGCACCCTGGGGACCCTGAGCCGGTCGCTGGTGCCGTCGTCGCCGGCCGCCGGCAGGCACCAGCTGGCGTCCGGGCGACCGCCCTCGGCCGCGCACCAGCTCCTAGACCACCACTACGACAGCGACAGCGCGCTCTCCGCACCCGACCTGCCCCTCAGCAGGAGGGACCGAGTGAGGGGTGAGTTGAGTGTAAGAGAGAAAGCGCGGGGTATGGCCGATCAATACAGCACCGGGCCAGGCCGGGCCGGTGTCTGCGTGGAGTATCGCCGTGGCCGCGCGGTGTACCTCCGGGCCGCGCCACGCCTCGCCACGTCGCGTGGGTCGCGGTGACTCATCCCGCCATGTGGAATCCGCAGGTCGCCTTCCGTCCTCGCCGAGCGTGTTCACGGCCGACGAGTACCGAGCGTGGCTACAGCGGACGCCCTCCACCAGCGCCATTTACGAGAGGATCCGGGCCAACCGCGACGCCGCGCTCGCGCACCAGCGAGCGTCGAGGCTCACGTTTTCCGCCGAAAACCTCAACCTGCTGGACCGAGCGAGAGAGGTGAGTAGTACAGCCTTTGAGTGCCGCTTCAGTAGGCCGCCTGGCGCGACGCAACTCGCCGACGGCGAACCGGTTCTCGCGAGTGGCGCGTCTAGACAGATCCCATCTCGTGCTGCCTTTCTCTTCCCGCATTATCCGTGTTGCGGCTTGCTACGTGGGACTCCGGGCCGGCCGGGCCCACCATTGAAGGTTACCTTCATCCTTCATAGTGTGTGGTCGACACACTCAGCAGGACCGCGCAGCGCAAGAGCGGCAGAGCGGCGTCGGCGAGGCGAGGCCGGTCGTTTCGACTTGCAACTCTGCCTCCCCCCCCCCTCTCTCTCCCCCTCCCTGCCCTCTCCCTCCTCACTCCTCGGTATTGTGTCACACCAAACCTTTGAGCACGACTGCATCCCCTTGCACAATAACACCATAATGAAGGGTCAGGGACGCTCCGGCTCGGTCCAGACTTCGACAAACAATGAGGGATAGGGACATGCAGGAGATCCCAGGGGCCAGGTATATCCCATCCCGTGGTTTCTCTCTCGTCCCTATTCTCTTGCAGCATGCGGGCCTCGCTTCCCCAGTCGAGGTATATTCCAAACACAATAGAATGTCCTTCGGGCTGCTTTTAGAAACCGAGGTTGAAACATAAATGACTTTTTGTGTGTGTGTTGGCTTCCCTCGTCCTCGTCCTCACCCTCGTCCTGTTTGATCCAGACCCCCTCTGACGTTATCCCGATCGTCCATTTTCCTTTCAAAAGGCCAACATATTTTATTTTTTTCTTCCAAAGATTTTGTGGAGATACGAAGCATTCTGGGGGCGGGCATACGTATATTTAGCGGAACCGCCCAGACTTAAATCAGATGCGACTCGGTGTGCTGCCCCTCCCTAATCCTCACAAGCAAGCGCGGGAACACGACGACTTACATTCCGACGTGGCAACGCTGCCGGCATCGCTCGACTTGGCACGGCCGCGCCCGAAGGTCCAGACCAGACCTGGCCCGAGTAATATTATTCTGGGCACCGGTTTCTGTTTGGAGGCCGACTGCTGTGGTCCCACCTGCCCTCCAGCCCATTCCTCGTTATGATATTTTAATGCGGCCGGCAGATGCTCCTATCGCACATTCGTTGGCGTGTCTGGGGCTCATGATAAGGTCTGTTGGCGCGGCAACGTGGCAAGCTAATTATACGGACCGTGCAGCCGTCTTCTTGCCTGCTTGCGTCGCCACTGGTCCCTACCAGCCTCGGTCCAGACTCATAAACCCGTCATGAGCTGCCCGCCCGACGATTGGGTCGTCGGGCTCCCGCGCAGTCTCAAGGCCAGGTAGTTTGGAGATTTCCTTGGTGTCTTTTTTTTTATACCCCCTTTTTTCACGTGGGAAAAATGGCCTGCCGCCAGTCCTTGCTGTTTCCATTATGACATTCCCCGGAAACACGAAGCCTTCTTTCTGATTCGGGCTGGGGTTTTTTTCGGCCACGTACAAACGGACACCGCCAGCAGCCAGACGCTCGTCCACCACACTCGCGTTTTCTTCTGGACTTTGGGGGGATCCATCCAGCTTGGGGTTTGCCATCAATGTTCCCGTCAAAGTGTCTGTTCTTTGCCAAACTCAGTTGCTATGGGCGAGTTGTGATTTTTTTTCGTTCTTCTTATTTTAATCGAAAACCAAACACCTTTCAGGAGGTGTTATCTAGATCTTATATTGTTGTCTATGACGGTTTTGGCCGAGGACAATCGTGTTTTATTTGAACCCATTTAAACAACCCCCGCTTGTATCCTTTGCAGGAGGGTGGCTCGTCCTACTATGGCTACCGGGCGCCCCTCACCAGCACCTTGGACAGGCACACCTTTGGGGCGGGCAGGTCACCGTCTGCGTCGGCGCTCAGCTCGGTGAGCTCAGTAGGCCGCTCGCAGTCGATGCGGCGCATGCGCCAGCACCTCCTTGAGCTTGAGGCCAGCGCCAGGCACAGCGGCACCCTGAGGTAAGACCCGAGCCCGCCGCAGTCTGCACTCTCTGCACAGAGCAGCATTCGACCTCCTCTCTTTGTTTTTCAGCCGCACGTCTTCGTCGGTCGTTCCGGAGTCCACTCGCTCGCGCATCATGGAGATCAACCCGTCCGAGTTTCTCAAGTACAAGATGGACAAGGCGGGTTCCGTGACGAACGTGCCCGGCGCGGCTGGCGTCGGCCCTGGCGACCTCCTCGGCGACGCAGGTACCCCGGGCGTCAGCGGCCTCCTTTGGGTGCACCTGCTGGCGGGGCGGGGCCTGCGGGCGTCTGGCTCCGGATCGGCGGCTACCACGCCCTCAACTCCTTCGGCGCCAAGTCCATTAGGTGAGTCTGGGGCGCGGTGCATATTTATTGCACCCTTCGTCTGGGGCAGGTAGAGAGCCGCCACCTGTCGCCTTTACCGATGCCGACGAGGATGGCAGATAAACAACACCCCCTTTTGTGGGCGGGGAACATCCGAAGATGTACACTAACGTTTTAATATGCCTTTCATGTAATAAATCTTCTAATGCCACTGTTGCTCGGTTTTATTTTTTAGGAAGCGGCAACGCCATGAGAGACCTTTATTGCGTGCTGGAATGTGATCGGGTGCACAAAGCACGGACCGTGGTGCGGACGGGAGACCTTGTCTTCGACTGGGATGAGACGTTCGAACTGGACCTCGTGGCAAACAGGGAGCTGGACTTCCTTATCTATTCCTGGGATCCTCAGTACAGGCATAAGCTCTGCTACAAGGGATCGGTAAGTCTTTGGGAGGACATTGACCAAACTTTCATCACCTAGTATTTGTATCACACTTCGCTCAGTTCACCTCACTCTTCACTTTTAATATAAATTTAATTTTGATCCACCATTCAGGTTCACCTTTCCTCTCTTCTTCGCCAATCACCAATTCACCAATTGGCCCTGAAGATTGAACCAAGAGGTACATTGTATCTCCGACTGAGACACACTGACCCTCATTCAACATTTTCACGGAAACATGCGACTGCTACACACCCTCTCCTAACTCGGCCTGGTGGAAAATCCTTAGCAGGTATAGTTGTTTTTTCATATTAATGAAAAGACAAAGCAAATAAAGAAAACTTTGAGAACTGTTCTTCTCGTGATTGCAGCGACAGCAGGTCTGTTGTTTGGCGTCGACTTGGAGTCAGTAGTAAATCGAGAAAACATCTCTGGGGGTGTGCCTGGCGGTGTTCCGACCTCGGTGTCTCTAGCAACTCAGGGAGCATCACAAGTACCTCTTATTATTAGAAGATGTGTTGAAGAAATTGAGAGGAGAGGGCTAGATATCATTGGTAATTAACTTTATTTATTTGAATCGTTTGACAAAAAGTTGTTGAAATTCATTACATTAGAGGTGTTTAATTTTTCTGTTTCAGGTTTATATAGATTATGCGGCTCTGCTACGAAAAAACGGATATTAAGAGAGGCATTTGAACGAAACGCTCGTACCGTCGATCTAACACCAGACAATGTTCCTGATATAAATGTCATAACAGGTTAAACATATTTTTCTTGATTATTTTTCAAATATATGGATGTATCTAATAACATGCTAAACATATATCATTCTTTTCTGTAAATTTCCAGGAGTGTTGAAGGATTATTTAAGGGAGTTGCCAGAACCTCTGTTTACAAAATGCCTATACCAAATGATGCTGGATGCGCTCACAGTATGCCTACCTGATGACCCCGAAGGGAACGCCAAACTTATGTTCTCCATTTTAGACTGTTTACCTAAAGTAAATCGAGTAAGTTCGTCTTCTGATGGTTTTTTTTTTCATGTATTTATTGAGTAAACTTGGGAGCTCAGAATGATTTAACCTAGCTACTTTTTCAGGCAACTTTAATATACTTAATGGACCACTTGGCGTTGGTTGTGTCACAATCTGAGAGGAACAAAATGACACCACAAAACCTTGCTGTCTGTTTTGGCCCCGTCATGATGTTACAAACTGAAGAAGGCCGAGAGTTAGATTTCAATCAAACTATCAGCGTATTGAGATATCTTCTCGAAATATGGCCGTGCAAGTCAGGTAATGTGCTCATTCTTTGTCTTCCGTTTGCTTCTCAGCTTTTGTTTGCCAGCAAGAAGTTCGATGTGTGTTACCTTTTTGTGTTCTTGTCGTCTTTGAGCTTCATTAGCATGTTTTGTCACAATTTAAACTGAAATTTTGACCGAACGTATTTGAAGCTTTCTGACGAATTTCTTCTCTAAACTTGAATTACTGTTGCGTGTGCCTCTCTTGGCCTGTTACGTCTTTTCTTCGGGCTATGAGTAGCCTTATCTATAGCATCAAATCTTATTGAGCTTGGTTTACCTCTTAAACCGCGTTTTGTGTGTAGTGTGTTGCTTACTATAGAGCGAAATGAATTGCCCAAATGAGGCAGGGAGCAGTAAATTTTGAAATGAAACGTCAGACATTTAATTAACACAGTCAACTTTTAATAGAAATGAAGGCGTAAATCACTAACACGCAAAGTATACCTTGAACACATCGCTTATACAAAGGAGTCTCGTTGCGCAGGAAATAGGTACCAAGATAGCAGGGGCTTTGACCAGGGTTCTGACTCAACATCAGATCAACACCTCTTATGTAAGAATAATACAGGCTTGAATGTAGTAAAGCTGAGCACTTCTAGCTTTACCTAGATGAAAGTGTAATTATACATCAGTATTTAGAGGCATAATACAGAGAAAATGCTCTGCACAATTCGGGCGTACCTCTCAGTACGGCCCAGCACCTCATTTGAGCCTGCTGGCACTGACAAGTCTGAAGCGACCATAGAAATATGTATTGAAACTACGCCTTTTGCAGATATTAAGATGCTAAATATTCACACCCATTTATTTAAGATCCCCAATTTGCTCCCAGCCTGTTAACAATGTAAGAAAATTGCTTCATAGAGGAGGCGTATGTACGTACGATTTTAGAAGCAGGCGTGCTCACATACAATCCGAGACTATTACAAGTGCTGAATAATATGTCATCAGAGTTGACAAGCACCGCCATTGGCTTCTGCGTTATGTACCTACCCTGTTGCCCCACAAATCAGTAGCCTACCCGTACGAGTAGAGATTATTCATTGCATTGTCCCACATAATACAGTTAATTCCAAGTATTTGTGCAATGTAGAAAACAATATTTAAAAATAGACTTTTAGCGTAAATAATTTCAAAATATAACTCCGCAGTATTATATTTTGGAGATACAATGAAACAAATAATAACACAGATTATTTCCAAGATAATAAGCAGTGCTTAGCGAGAAAAGCATGTGGAACAAAATTTTAACCGCATGACAATTTCATAGCTTTTTAGACAAAGTAAACGGCGGAGGACTGCATGAGTCCAAGAAGCACACTAAAGACACACAAATTACACGAGCCATAATTAACATAGAGTTTGTACGCTCTATTTTGTTAATGTTCGGGCGGACGGCCTCTGCATTGCGGTATAGTTTGTGCCTTATACTAAATCAGAATAAATTTGCATAGTAAGCTTTGCCTGTAAATAGTCCGTCGTCTTCTAGAACCGCGTACAAGTTTTCTTTGGTTGACGTACATATTGAATACGCTTGTCTAATGATTTACTAGATAATTCCTGGTGGCGAATTAACCCCTCGCACTTCTGTAGTTATACTGCCCCGCTCTGGCGTGCGTGCGAGTTTCCTATCCGATCGGGTTCGGAAGGCGCCCTGTTGAGAAACGGTAGGCAAATCCGCTCGCACGCATGCATGCGGTACACTACAACGTGTGGGGATAATCAGCCACCTGCTAAATCAACTTTTGATTTCCTTTTTATTGTATTGAAGCTCCTTATTTCATTTCATGAATAAGTGGGTCATATATGGAAACCTATCAAGAAACATGCTAGATACCTGTTAGATATCCCAATATCCGGTGATCATAACACATCCCTTTTTCACAGACAGTTCGGGAGGTACTATGCGCCAGCACTCTCCAGTCCACGAGTTTGACGACTTCCTTGGGCTCGCAGAAGCCGCCGCCCGTCAAGCCATCCCCAGCCGCCCACCTCACCTCGCTGTCGCGGGTCCAGAGCTCTTCTCCAGTTGTGGTCTCGTCCCCGATAAGTGACTCGTCGCCCAGCCCCTCCCCGCCGGAGGAGGCTGAGATTCTGAGGAGCATCCCCAAGGCCGGCGCCGCGCCCCGCGGGCCACCTCCGCGCATCGAGCCGCGGCGCAGCTTGCCCAAACAGGGCGAGCACGACGTGAACGGCCTGTCGCTGCAGCGGCAGCACAGCCAGCCTCCCGGACTCCCACCTAGGAATGCGTCCACATTGCAGAGGAAGTGGTCCGCCAACGGCAACGGCACCCCGCCACCCAGGACCGCGCTCACCTCGCGGCCACTCCCCAGCCCACCGGTCAACAGCCGCCCGATCCCCATGGCGCCGTCCAGCGCTGTCTATGGAGGCAACGGCTACAACGGCAGCAGTGTGCTCGATGCCGTCAAGAACATCGAGAGCATGCAGCAGCACGAGGCCGGCAGCCCCAACTCGTCGCCCAGGAGCGTGCGCAACGGCGCAGGCTTGACGATGAACCTCGTGGCGCCAGACCACTCTGCGGATCGAGACACCTCCCCAGCGGCTTCTGACCAGGGCGACCAGTTGGAGACGCCCACGTCGTCGACGGGTACCGAAGACTCTCGGCGCGAAGGGGAGGCTGGCGAGCGCGGAACGGAAGGTGACGAGGAAGCAAGCGATGACGATGACGAAGACGATCGCTTCCGCTCTGGCAGAGGCAGCAGCACGTCCGTGGTCATGCGGGACATAAACTGAGGCAGAGGGAAGTCTTTTCTGGAGCGCAACAAACTGGAGTACATCTAATGGGCAGAAAGCTTTAGTGCCAATCAAAACAAGGCCTGTGTGTTTTTTGTTTTACATCCTGAGATTTGAACATTTGCTTCTCTTTAGTGAGAACCAAGCTTTGGCCTTCGATGACTGATTGGAGACACTCATGTGACCACGTATATTTTTTTTTATGAGTTAGAAACAACCTACTTAGTTAGCATGTGCGTCGTCTTTATGCAGGTATGTAGATCGATTTACTTTAACAGACTGACTTTTGGACCATGCGCTCTAGAAATCGTTTCTACAATGACAGAATATTTAATTTGTAGCCGAGGAGTTAACTGTTATCTCTCTTACAAATTTCATGGCTCTGAAAATTAGTGGAAATTCCGTCAAGAAATGTTGAGCCTTGGGCATCTATTGTTCCGACGATGTTCATTTCATAGTGCATTTTAATAATAATAATGGTTGTGAAGATATGCCCAAGTAAAAGATACTCAAAATTGAGGTGGCATTAGCATAACAGCAAAACCTGAATGGCATTCGATTAACGCCAAAGTAAATGTCAATTCTAAATATGGGTCTGTAGACGCTTTACAGGCACAGCAAGTTAGAAGTTTTAGAATTATCAATTAGCAGGCTGAGAGGCTCGCAGCGTAGACTTTATCTATCAAGAATTTCTCGTTATTGGAACATAAACAATGACTGTTACTCAAAACCTATTAACACGCTTATATTACTTTAAGTACATTTGAAGAGTCGTTTAATGCCTTAAGTGTTGTTAATTTCTCTTTTAAGTTGTAAAGAGATGTGATTTCAAATGCTTAGTCTATATTTAAAGGAATCCTAATCGTATGTGGAACAAGGCAGATTGTGTAAGCGTAGTGGAATTCGCGCCTTTGCGTTGTGTTCTTCTAAATGTAATGTGCAAAGCAGAAAGACTGTTCCCCCACCTTTTTGTTTCACTGCTAAAATCGGCTGAGTTCCCATATCACAAGTATCCGTAGACAAGTTTTGAGACATTTTTTAATGGACTGTTATTCATATTTTTTGTTTTATATCTTTATTGTACAGGTTTACGAGATAATTCGGTTTTGTTATGATTGTGTAGTTAAATTAATTTGATAGATTGGCTGGAACAATATAAGTAGCAATTGTCAATAAGCAATAAGTTCAACACCCGCACTGTACTTTTAAATACATTGCCTTTTGAAGGCTACCGTTTCAACCAGATATCTTTGTATGTAGGTTTCTTGTGATGAGTGGTTCATATCTGTAAATACGAAAATCCATTATCATGCGACTTCACTGCCACCTATAGTCAATATAAGATAAGAATTGAGAGTTTCTAAATCGTGTTAGCTGTCTTTTTATTTTATTTCCATCTAGTACATATGCTACACTTTTGCGGACTAAATAGCAGTTGTATAATTTAATAGATTCATTTTATTTTCAGTTGAGTGTTATGTGTAAGTAGAAATAATCTAAGTGTGTACACATTTTGAGTCAATTCTTTATGTATTGCCTGGTGGATGGACCCAGTCTATTTCTGCATAATGTAGGTGCTAACCTAATGTACTTTCGTGTACGCTTAACGCTTCCTTCTGAGACGGTTTCATATTTTCTTGTTGTGAACACGGAAGTAATTGAATGATATAAACAATCCCTGTCAATTAGGCTATAGCCGTATTTAAATAGGAGACCTAATCCCGAGAGCAAAAGCCCAAAGCGAAGAATATAGGGCCGAACAGGGCCTGGGCGCCCGATCCCACCACCCATCACTGTCGTCTCCACATTCTCCGCTTCGAGTTTTCGTCTTTGCGTTTAGCTCTCAGGAGGATAAGCTCTTTTAACTAAATACGGCTTTTTCTTCGTTTTATCGCAAGGCAGATAGGTACATTTTAATGGCCCGAGTAATATGCACCTCTAAGGCAGCATAAAAGAAAGTCTCCTGCGGGCAGGCTGACTGCGGCACATATCTGTTATTTTACAACATTACGTCTTATAAAACTGCTCTTTCTAATCAACGCATCATGAATACGTGAGTGTGGGCGTATCTGTGCATGATCTGTGTGAGAAACGGAGAAAGCGGGAGGAAGAGAGTGCTTGAGAAAAGAAGGAAATGGAGAGAGAGGAAGGGGCGAGGTGTGTGTGTGTGTGTGTGTGTGAGAGAGAGAGAGAGAGAGAGAGAGAGAGAGAGAGAGAGAGAGAGAGACGGGATACCAGATAGTGTGGATCACATTCCTAAATGGCAATGATGCTCGCATAATAAAAATAAACTATGCTCAAACCTGCCTTGTGTAAAACAATCTCAGACGCAACTCATGTGGTGGACTGGTAATGTAAGTGTGATGTTCACTATTCTGCATAGAAGAGTGTTTGTGTTTAGCCATTCAACAGTATTCTCATTACATAGTTAATATATTTAATTTTAGAATATGGACGAGGCTGCTATTAACATTTTGTACAAAGATTTGAATCTCGTGTAAAATATTAAAGTAGGACACAAAACTTGCTGAATAATGTGTACATTATTTTCTAGGGAGTCGCACTGATTGTACTTTGCAATATTGCTATATAATGTTCAAAGAGAAGAGTAAACCTAAGCAGAGATTTACGCTCATGCTTTTTTGCACATATCATCTGGTTAAGAATGAACAGTGTAAAGTATTTTAGAGTTTCGCAATTTGTTATTATTTACAGTGTATCAACCAGTACATCTTGTTTCATAATTGTTATCATTTTAGGTTTTATTTATACATTGTTTATACGTTCATGACGTGGAGCAAATTTGTTACTTTGGTAGCTGAAGTGATCAGTGTTGCTATTAGTTTTCCTTGCTAATAAAACGAAGCTATGTAAGCTACCAATTTTCGTGCCATTTAATAATTTTTAATGTTCCAAAAGTTTGAAATGTTAATTATTTGACGTAACCTTCACTTTCAATAAGGTTTGCTGTCGATATTCAGACTTTATTATTATTTTTAAGGGTACGAGAGCTATTGTTCCTATCGAGTGTCTCGAGTCGCCTTTACTGTACGGTTGCAAAAAGAAAGCGCTAAATCAGTTAGTAAACCAAAACTACGGAAGTTGATTGCTGTTTCAACTTTTTTTGTTTATGTTCCCAAGGCCCAAGAGACCATTCCTCACAAAGTAAAACTTGTCAAGAGGTGCTGCAACTACTGCAAGGTGGTGTCAAAGAAAATAAAAAATCAGAGTTGAACATTTTTATTACAAAAAATTTGTTGCACAGACAATATTTTCCAGTAAAACGTGCTGACTTCAATGATACAACAACATGGAATTCGAAATAAACTTATATTAGGGTAACAAGTAACATATTTCAATTTAAACACTTATCAATATTCTCTAAGAACTTTACAAGTCTGTTTCATATGATGTTCTAATTTATCCTTCCTAGTTAGAACTTTCCCACAATACAAGCATGGGTGACTAGACACTCGTTCGTGCCTCTCCATGTGCCTCTTAAGGTGAATCCTTTGTCTAAACCTCTCGGGGCATTCTGTACAGGCAAATGGCCTCTCTCCAGAATGAGTAAGCATATGACGATCTAGCCTTTGAAAATATCCATTGCAAGAAAGACATGTCCCTGCACAGCTGGTTCGCGGAGTATTCAGAATTTCTTCCGAAACTGTGTCAAGTTTAGGAAGGCCTACAAGTTTTGATTTCTTCGAAACGTTGTCGGGTTTGATGAAGTCCACGTCCTTCCTCTTGGTGCTGTTGATCTCGCAATAATCCAAGAAACCATTCTGAGGTATGATGTGGTGTGGAGGTGCGTGACTTAAGTCCCAGATGTCATCCAGGTGATCGATCAACATTATTTCCTGGTAACATAAAGATGAATAGAAATAACGGAGATATGGATCGTCAGCACGCCTGGGGCAGCACAGCATGTCCCTCCCTTCACAAATTTATGGTCTGCATGACCACAAGGCACATACACTAGCGTTTATCACTATTACTCAAGGCTGTTGTGAGCACGCGAGAAATTCGATGATGCGTATGTATCCATGGCATGTTCAGGTTACATTCATCTGCGCTGCATACGAACAGAGCTTTCGGCGGGTAGCCCATACTGCGCATGCGCCCCTGCCAGGCCCCACCCGGCAGTGGAAGTGGAACTCGCCCAGGCAGGCCCTCGAGACTTCTGCGCATCTACCCCCTCCAGGCCCCATACTCGCCGGCGTGCCCCGCTGAGCGCCGAGTCTCTCCTACTCTTTCCGCAGCGAGCTTCCGAACCGATCCGGATGAACACCAGGGGCTTTGTCCCTCTAAAGTAGCCACAACCCCTTTCTGCTTTTAATTACTACTTCTTCAGAACCCTCTGGGAGGTGAACGGCAAACTAAGATGAGCTAGTTAATACGGTTGATGCAGCTAAGAGCGAGCACCAGAGCCTTAAGCAAGATGTAAATACAAGGTGGGTGTTCTTAGTCAGCCTCTTTGCTTATTAACCGTTTGTCTGCAACAGATCAAGAAGAAGAAAAGAAGAAGTTTGTGTCAAGAACATGGCGGCCGGCCCATAAGAATACATGGGCCGGCC